GTGGTAGGGTCTCTTGAGGTCAAGCTGCAGCAGGTTGCCTAGTAGCGGAAGTGGTTTCGGACCTGGAGGTCCCTTCCCTTCATCCTGGGATCCGAAGCTGGAGGAGGAGATGATGTAGACGAGCACCAAGACCACCAGAGCCCCCAAAAGAGAGCTAGTACTCGAGGCCTGGAGAAAAATATCTAATATTCCCATGACTTTAATCAAGTGTTCTGAAGTTGCTCCAACTCTTAACTTGTTTGCTGTGTGAATGCAGCTGGCTCTGGCTGAGTGAGGAGGAGAGATTTATTTTAGTAGCTGCTCCTTTGACCTTATTAGAACCTTTGAGAACAGTCTATTTGTTCTGTTTGATATTAACAAGATTGATTTGCACTTTTGCTACCTCAGATGCCGTGTGATCATGGAGGGATTGGCTTGGCCTGTACAGAGGTTGATAGGACAAGTGAGATTACATGTTGGCCAAATACCAATAACCGATGGACACAGTGGTGGGTTGGGTGGAGGGGTGAGGGGGGGACTGCATTAATGATTATCTGTGCTGAGATTATTCTACTGGTCAAAACAGTATTCATGCACTCTCATTGTGATCGACTCAGACTCACAGTACACAAGTATCTCAAATGGACAAAGAAGGAAATATTATAGTTATACAATATTTTCTTTAATAATTAGCAGCAATGTGATTACATTGCAAACGTTTAAGCATTTGGTCATAGAAGTTATCTCACCGCACTTTTCATAAAGAGCAGGCTTACACACTACTTGCGGTTGACATTTCTGGCAGGTATTTTGCAAATGTTTTGAATTAGAGATCGGGTCAATGCCACAAGGGTTTCACTGAAACTAGGACACAGACACATGGACAAACTCAGATTTATGATTTACCTAGATTTCAAAAACGATATTGTAAAAAAACAATTCACTTTATTGGATTCAATAAACGTCACAGGACTCTATCCAATTTATAGATTGGTGGCAAAGATCATCATGCATTTTTTTCTACAACGTTTTACCTTTGTTCTCTGTCACCCTTCACCCAGCCTCATCCTTAAAGCTCCTTTTTTTACAAGCCATGTTAAAATGTTTAATGTATTTGATTTTTGTTTAGATTGCTTTTAAAGCTCTGGTTTCATGACATCCCTAATGTTACAAGCACATGCAAACCACATAGAATATTATCATCAGCAAAAAGTTACAACCTTTGTTTTTCTCTCATAGCTTATGCTCTGCAATCAGAAGATCTGTTGCTGGAGCATTGCCTATGATTATGATAACACTGTACTCTACTAAAAACTGCATGAAACTTTCAATTCATTACACTTTTAAGAATTAAAGCAGTTATTAACTAACCTTTTTGATAACCTCAGTGACTATTGACTATGTTACTTCAAGGGTCAAGATAAAGGAAGGTGTGTGGTGCAGTGGGTTGTGCGTTGGTGTTGGGATCAGGGGAGCACAGTTTCAAACCCCACTGCAGTCAGCATGTCGTTGTGTCCCTGAGACACTTCACCCCAAATTGCTCCTGTGGGGATTGTCCACAGTATTGAGTATGTAAGTTGCTTTGGATAAAAGTGTCTAACAAGTGTCATGTCATGTAATGTAATAAAGGAAAGACTAGTTCAAATGAAAGTGAGAGTTGATCTAAACTTTGAAAAGCAGACTTTCATAGAGAGGGGTAGAGGAGACAGCTAATTACTCACCAGCTGGCCAAACATGACCTTGCAACCAAGATATTTTGAACCCTGGTAAATGATCAACTTAACTGCGTCAAATGTATAACTTATCTCAAATTAATTGTAATACATTGGTGGCAAAGATCACCATATCAAGTTGTATATAAGGTTTTATTATAACTTGCTCTCTCTCAACTTTCACCCAGCCTCATCTGATGGTTGTTTTGTCAGAAACAGAATTAATGCATTTTATGTACTTTAAAAAATAAGAATTGGTGATGACTACAAGCTAAATCAAACAGACAGCGATATGTTTGCTGGTTAAAACAAAGGTTACAGGGGAGGATGTTGGTGGCAACACCTGCAGAAGATGGACATGGCAATGTTAATACGTTATTATGTCAGGTTTATTCATATAGTTTCTCAAAAGGGTTCATTTATAATCGTTGAAAATATTGTCACCTCAAGGTATGTTTTGATTGGTTGCTAAATATTACAAATAAATAATATTGCACCTAGTGGAAACCTCTTTAGCCAATAGGGATGTTATAGACCAGGAAAGCTACAGCTAAAATGTTATATATATATTTACAAGATTAAGTTTTGTTCCAGGTTTGTGGAGGTTAATTATTGTTTATTTGTGCCTCTAGCAATGCTCATAATGGTTGTCTTGTCAACATTTGGATAAGAACTAGTCAGAATCATTCCAGTTACTTCAAGTTTTTATTTCAGGGAACAAAAGCGAGATAGATTACAATGCTTTTATTTGTGATATTGTAATTTTTAAAATAAAAAAATACATTATGACATTTTTTGTTTTGAAGATAGGTGGACAAATTTATTTTATTTAGTTTCACAGATACATAATGTTGGAGAGGACGATAAATGTACAGTGACATATGAAGACATTGGGGAACGCTCTACTTTGGTCAGACTGGTTCTGATTGTAATATCCCTTTAAAAATCACATTATCTTTGGTGGATAGGGTTGCAGCAGGAAGATTTGCCGTATTGAGAGTTCCTTTTAAAGTTTATAACTTTATTGCTGTGTTACTCAACTTGGAAAATGTAAAACTCCAAGATGAAAGAGTTACTAGAAAAAAGGCCGGAAATCTTCATCTTTTTTTATTGTGCACAACAAATAATTGCATTCGTATTTTACATGTCAAGTTACAAGAAAGACATTATGTAATATATTTAGAGTGATTGTGCTCTGCATAAATAACCAGTAATAGCTATATAATCATTTTTGATTGCTTGCACATAAGCTCTTCTGACATCCAATCAATATTCATCATCCCGATTACTTCAGTGGTGTTGAACTTTGTCACTCCTGGTAAACTCCTCGTATTCGGGGTGCAGCACACAGCTTATGCGGTACTGGGTCGAGGGTTAGGTGCATGCATGGAGTCAGATCGAGTTCATCCGCTGAAACTCCTGGAGCAGGGGTGAACCGAAAGTACTGCAGGAGGCTGGTGAAAAAGAAGAAGAGCTCCATCTTGGCCAAACTTTCTCCGGGACAAGCTCTGAGACCTGTTAGAGAGTGTGAAGGTTAATCTGCCAGTGAATACAAAGTGAACAAGAAGTGTTGCCTAAGCTCACAAACCTGCAGAGAAAGGCATGAAGGCATCTCGCTTCACAAACTGTCCATCTTTGTCAAGGAAGTGAGCAGGATAAAAGCTGTGTGGGTTCTCCCATTCACTCTCATCGTACAGGACAGACGTCAACAAAGGAATCACCGTGGTCCCCTGTATGCAGAGTTGAAAATATGTTTGTGTATGACTTGATATATTTAAAATGTCTTTCAGCAAAAACAACATTTCCTACATATAACATTCATTTTAAGACATGAAGATTAGTATGGAGGAAAATTAGGTGTTTCATTCAGTTGTACCTTCTTAATGAAATGACCTTGAAGGGTCACATCTTGGCTAGTTTTGTGAGGAAGCGACATTGGGGCAATGTTAGCCAATCTCTGTGTCTCATGGAGGACAGCATTGACAAAGTGCAGGTTCTTTCTGTCCTGAATTTGTACTTGACGATGTCCTATCACTCTGCTCAGCTCCTCTTGGACCTGGTCTAAATAAATGAAGAGCTTCTGTTTTTATGATAACAATTCGACTTGAACTTCATGTTTTTTTGCTTGGTCTGAAGGATGTGGATCTATTAAGCTTCTTACCTTGTATTTCTGGATACTTGGCCACAAGCAGAAGTGCCCATCTCAGTGTATCTGATGTTGTGTCAGTCCCAGCAGCAAAGAGATTCAAGACTGTTGCCATAAGGTTGTCATCGTGAAAGTGACTGTAGGTAATCCCAGATTTCTTCAAGTAAACACATATCACTGCTTTTATTCAAACAATTCTGATCAGAAATATGTATTTATTTGCAGTTATAAATGTACAGTACAGTATGTTAACTGTCAGTTTTGAACCAATGTGCAACTTTGGATATCCATTGCCCATTTATGTCTGTAGGCCGTTGCTGTGAGTGTGAACGGGCGGAGCATATACTGCGTTAGCTTAGCAGATCTCCATTCAGAAAACACGCATTTTAAAAGGTTTTTCGCCTGCCGTCTGTCTGCAGACTTGTCAAAGCATTAATTCATAGTTTTTACTAACCGGTATCAGTATGTTGTTACTTCGGCATCATTTTGAAACGTGTATTACAATTAAATCACGGTCAAATATGTTCATTTTGTTGTAGTTGTAGCCC